GTCTCGCAAGTGATATTTTGGACACAGATGAGAGGTGGACCTTCAAGAGCGTACAAACGAGAACATCGTCAGACCAATGGGCGTTACCAGTTTCAGCACTTCGCATCGACCTGCTATCGTGGGCCCAACTACGAAATGGGGAACTAACTAGAATGTAATCCATCTGACTAGCGGTACGGCCGCCGTTTGAATACAAGGTCAGTAAATATTTTATGACGATGCTGAAAGCATATGCTGGTGACAAATAGTCGGTTCTGTTCAGCAAACTACAGCAGCCACTCACCATTTTCGGACAGAGAGCCAATAAAGTGGCTGTTTTACGGGTCACTGGGCCCAGTCCGGCCATTCCAGTCCCCGGCGACAATTAACAGATCACAGCGAGGAACTCCTTCAATTAGCTCGTGCAGATGCGAGTAGAAATTGTCTTGGCCATGCTGTTTGGCCGCTGATAATGTGCATATACAGCGACGACAGAGATGTTCGTAAAATGACCGTTTAGCCGAACGTAAGCCATCCAGTCATTGACTGGTTCCCATGCCAGTAGTGCACGGCTTGCTTGTTCTGAGAGGGCAATAGCCCCACCGTATCTACCAGATGAGTCAGTTGGGCCACTTTGATGCAGCGCAAGGTGAGAATCGACTCCTGGGATTTTTATTTCTTGGGCGCCTGAGTCGGGGAGTCGGACAGGCAGCAAACCTACATGAGACATTGATGGAGACTGCGTGCCGTACTAGGTTCCAAAAGTGCCCGCACATTCCAGCATCCAATACCAAGATTTCGTTTCCGGTTGAATGGTCTAGCTCGCATACTATTCGTCAGCACTACCGGACAAGGGTTGCAGAGCGCGTCGGTTCCCACGGACGCCGTAGCAGGGATCGTGTTATTGTGAGTGGACATTTTTGCATGAGGAATCTTGGGGATTTTGAATACAGACAGCTCCCAATCAGCCGTTCGGATAGTTTGTTCGAGGTTATCTCTTCTAGCACTTTGGCTTAAGAACATAACCACGAGGCAGAGGTGGAAAGCAGACCTATTTACTTGTCGTTCATGCTCGCCATCTCACAGTATTGTTATTGGTACCTGCGGCATCTTATAGGACAGTCGGTGTGCTAGACCTCAGCCCTCCACGCCCTAGTAACACTGTCGCTCGAATGCATTCCGATGAGTCAGAAATGGATGTGTTCAGAATAAAACAAATCGCCTTAGCTGGGCTCACTGAAATGTATATAGCAGTTATAAGAGTATATTTCAAAAACATCCATGCTACTGATCCGGATGTTATTTCATCAGATGACTTTAATGGCGCTTCCTTTTATTTCGATCTAGTATGGAACTTGAAAATTAATTTTCAAGATATCGTGCAAAAATTGTGTCAGAGGCGAGAGTCAAGCACGGGCGCCAAAATCATATGTAGTGAATCGACCCAATTAGATTCTAATCAGACGCCCAGACCTCTGATTTAAATGGTATTATAAGCATTAGCCGTAATAGCAACTACTACAATTCCTGATTTGGTGCTACAGAGTTGCTTCCCTCTAAGTGCCAAAATGTACTAAGTATTTGCACGTTAATAACGATGATGAAGCCTGAATGACATGCAGTAAATTTGGATGCAAATTTCTGACCTCCGTGTACCTTCCAGTTTCAGGTATTTTGATCTCTTGAACGTTGTAGCAACTCTGAGAGGTCAATATTTCGGTTTGTGCATATACTGCCGCTATCCGTAGACGACTATCTAAAGCCTTAGCTCGAATTAGATTGATTTTTAATTCATTTACACTCTCCTGTGAAAAAATAACGATTGCATCGTTAGATTCCAAAGATAGTAAATATAGTGTAAAAGGAAAAAAGGACCAGTTTACTGACTGCAACAGCCACACTTCTAATTGTTTCAAACATCAGGCCGATTCGTGAAAGCGAACAACTGCTTACATTGTTCCTACCAAACGTCCATCTCGTTCAACGCCACTAATTCGTTAAGTGAAAAAAAAACACCTGAACATTGGGACGATATAATGTTATTGTTTATAAAAATAGTACACATTGAGGAAAACCAATCTAGGTCGCTTTAAAAGTTCTGGTTTTAAATCTGTTCACATAAGAGATCTACTTAACACGATAGAGAATACGACGCTGCATTCTGTACTGAATCTCTCCTCGACGAATCATGTAGTGTAAGACCTTTGAGACAGCGTGTTCTGAAAAACCCTGTAATGAGAAAGCAGAAGTCACTTTCAAACAGAGATAAAAAGTTAAACACCACTCAGCACATGGGTCCTGAAAGTCTCAAAAACGAGCATATTTTGGAGAAAGTCTAAACAATATTCATAATCTGCTATAACAGAGTACATTTGGGATGTGTCAATATGGCTAAATTTCTTAACAAAAGAACAGGTTACGAAAGTCTTTGTGACTACGATAAGGTGTGAGTGTAGAGAACAGCTAACCTAAGACAAAGTCGGGTAGATAAGCGATTAATTGTGACGGGATATGCGGACAGAGAGGATTACCGGCACTATTCTGTCAACAAGTTAATTATGCAAAATAATCCCGAGGAAATGTAGATGCGCCATGTAGCAAACACTTGAGTCCATTTTGTTCGCCACCTGTGTAAAACACACTCGCTAAGTACCACTTAAGTATTATGATTTTCATATTGATTTCAGATGCCCTAATAAATACAGATGTATTTTACGGAAAAAAAACGCCCACATTGTTTCTAGTACTCATTTCGTAACGAATCACGTCATTTTCGATTTTAGACGGGAAGACAAGATATGTGTTGGTTTTGGAACAGTTTATGATCATGTTTTTAAAGGCCGCTCAATGTGCATTCAGATGACACCGTATTTATACATTTAGTAATGCTTTGCCAACTGTAATGCATAGTCGACATGAAGAGCAAAAAGTAATGAGTCCTTTATAGTACTTTCGAAATGACATATCGACATGTATGATTTTCCTTATATGTAAAGTTTTTGGTTTGTAGACCGTAAATCCTAAACGAGAACACAACGGCGGATAGGGCTAGAAAGTTGTCGGGAAATGAAAAATGTTTTTAAAACCGGAAGATACTCCTTCTCGGAATATAAACAAATTTTTGGGCATATTTTCCACGAAGCATATCACAATTTATAAGGGCGTCGGAAATCGATACAAAGTAGTCATCTACTGGTTGCGATTTATACAGGCAATCAAAAAGAATTTCGCACAGAAACCGACTCCCTAGCACGTCGGACATATTTTGGGACTATGTTGCATGATAATTAGGGCCAGAACCCCTTAAGTAATCCTTCCTAGTCGAAAATGCATTTCAGCACTTTCTTCCAGTAGTCAGATTAGTCATTGACGACAAACGTTAGAAATAACCTGACGACTGGTCGAGGGGGTCGCTGAAGGAGGCATAAATACACCGACGTTTTGGAAGTAGAAAATATTGTCGCCCGTAAGTGAATATGTATTCTGAAAGTTATCACTAACGCAGACAAAGTCCGCAAGCCGAAGAAAAGATGGGTACGATAGACGGATCACAAGCAGATTGTGCACGCAAACATAAAACGGTAAGAATATTGAGTCAACGCA